TCCCCCGTCTCCCTCACCTTGCCGCCGGCCACGACCTCGGCTCTCCCCTCCCCTCCCTCATGAGAAGAGATCCGATCTCCCGTCGACGTCCTCCTCCCTCCTGCTCCGGGCAACCAGTTCGCCTTCCAACCTCCAACCAACATCCCACCACCGCGCTGCCACGCCCCTCCCTCCAACCCCTTCTCCAGTGGAATTGCATCTCCCCGAGCGCCGCCGCCGCTGTTGAGCACCCACCGCCGTAGGGGTCCGCGCTGCGTCCCGAGCCAATCGCGCTCTACGGCGGAGAGGCGATGGATTCGGCACGCGCCTCAAAGCCCGAGGAGGAGGTGGCCGCTTACCAGAGCGGCGAGGCCAAGCAGGCGAGGCTGCAGTCCATGCTCGCGGCGCTCCTCGATGACCCCATTCTGGCCGGCGTCCCGAGGAAGCCCTCGCTGGCGGATGTGGACACGCTCATCAACCTCGAGCTCGGTAGCGCCATGAGGGTGACCATCGTCAAGCTGGACAACACCTCGTTCGATATAATATGGCCCTCTTCGAACCCCGCCCACATTTTTGTCCAAATCCCTTACCATGCGTTTATCCCACATCTCAATTCGTGTTCCTCTTGTTGTTGTGGTGAGTGATACGGATGTCGCGGTGTTGAACACTGCTACGCTCAAGGATTTGAAGCTGGCTATCAGGAAGTGATAGTCAGATTTATTTGTTTGAAACTGTGGAAGGATGAATTCTGACATCCATGTCATCTAATTCATTCATGCTGACATGTGTTGATCTAATTAGTTGACATCCTTCGAAATGCTGCCGATTTGTCTTTGCTATTTAATATATCCTATGATGGGCACTAAGGCACTGTTGATCCACCAAAATTTTCTTAGTTTAGATGGGTGTGATTATCTAAATAGGCTGAGGGTCACAAGATGTATGGTATTAACCTGAATTCTTAGTAGGCTCAAGATGTTGAGAATCCTAGCTGAAGTCGTGTTTTAGTTTGACTTTGCACTGTGTATTGAATAGCTGAATCTGTGTACATAAGGTTATTCAAGCCTGCTTGAATTAGATTCCAAGCTGGAGCTTATTCTAATTTTTAGTTCGATTTTGCACTGAACTTGACCTGTTTGGTATTGACTAGCTGAATGTGTTTACACAAGGTTAGTCAAACCCATTCGAATGAAGGTCCCTATCTTAACTAATCTATTTCAGTTAAGGTAAGGAGAATATAATGTTCGAAGATTGTCCTCTTAAAGAAGTATGAGCTCAACATAGAAAGAATTTTCTCTCTAAGATGTTACACTAGTATCTATATTCTAAACTAGGATCCCATTTCTGTGACTCCATGAAGCTTCGGTCATGTGGTTATAAGTTTATCTAGGACACTACATTGTTTGCCTATCTGATATAACGAGAGCACTCACTACAAAGAGTTCTTGGCATCAGTATTTGTTAACGCTAAATTGTTAGAAAGTATTATACCTATTCATCCAAGAAAGTCTACTGTGTAGTATGAGGATTGTAGTGCCGGTAAAATAAATTGTAGATTTGGGAAGGCTCAACTAATTTATTGTTGTGCAGACAGAACATTACTAGATGCTGGGAAAAATAAATTGTAGAAAATTACGAGCCGACATACGTGTTCTGTAATTAAAAAGCTTCAGCTGCATAAGTGTAAAACTAATTAGAGATCCTACCTTATTGAATGTTAGCTATCCTTAATAATATGGCCTTCTAAGTTCTATCACAATGTTACCTCTTCAGCTGTATAATAGTTGTCAGGCTTGTATTGTATTCCCCAAAAGTGCCAACTTGTAAACCCTACCTGATGGACGTCATATACTGCTGGTCAAAGGTTGAGACATCGATTCTTATCATGCATAATCTCGACATCTGATGCAATCATACTCTGCATCTGTATTGCTGTTGCAGTTTTTGTAGTTATATTCTGTGTAGAGTCCTGAAACATTTTCCTCACAGGGCGCCACCTTCGGAGAGGTGATAGAAATGACTGACATTTTTGAAGGAAGTGTCGGAGTAAATGACCACGGGTACCCTAGCCGGCTCCCTCTGGCACTTCAGAAAAAATTACGAGCCGATCCGGCTCTCAAGAATCTAAGACATGGGGCCACCTTCCCCCTGCCTTAACCCTCATGAAGAAGGCCGCGAGAGGGCCGACTCCCAGAAGTCGGCCACGAGAAGGCCGACTCCAAGGAGCTGGTTCCCATGACGCGGTCAAGATCGTACCCTCGAGGTACGCATCCACATAACGGCGATGGGACGGGGCGTGGCTACAGTAAAGCCTGCCACCCCCGAAACCCGGAGCACGCTTGGCACAGCGCGCCGTACGGGGTAGCCCTGACCCGTCCGGCGCAACACTGTTGCCATGTTGACTATGACGCTGTATACGATGGGCTGTCAGCGTGGCCCACGGGCGGTGGGCCCCTTCAGGCAGAGAGACACCCGAAGGCGGCCAGGCCTCCTCCAGTCGGCCCAACACAGGGCCGGCTTCCCAAAGCCATCTTGCCCCCTCACTCGAAGGAGGCGCTCCATTAAGGAGACAAGACGAGGTGAGGCTACAGCGATCGCCCACCAGGCGGCGGCACTGTAGCCACACTTACCTCGACAATGCCCTCATCATCAGGATTAAGGCAACAGTAACTAGCCACCGACAAGGCCCCCGGCAGTGGGGCCTGCCTGTCGACCAAGATGCCGGCAGCCGGCGGGCCCCAACAGCCGGCGCAGAAGCTGGCGGAAGTAGACACTGAAGGCTAGGGCCCGCGCCCAGCTGGATTACCATTGTACCCCTGGGGGGTAGGCCTATATAAACCCCTCGGGGCACCCATGCAAAGGGTTGATCTCAGCTAGTTCTAGACACCACATAGAGAGAAGAGGAGAGCTAGCCGTGCCCTTCTTCTTCCTCTCGCCAAATAGCTCAAGGAGCATCTTTTAGCCACTTGTTCATCTAGTGATCATGCGGAGACCCCGCAGAGCAGCAGTAGGGGTGTTATCTCCACGGAGAGCCCCGAAGCTGGGTAAGATTCGTCGGCGTGCATGTCTTTGCCTCATCCCGCTTCCAGGACCCGGTGATGTCTTACTGGCTCCCACAATGATAAGCCACCAGTTGGCATATGTCGCACCTACCACCCGACATTTGGCGCCCACCGTGGGGTGGTACTACTACTATGGTACCACGCTGCTGCTGGTTTCGCTGTCCGGGCGGGACCCTTTTTTCTTCATCTCCCCCGCCGCGGTGTCGCGCCGTCTCTCCGACAGCGCTCGGGGGCTCAACTTCGACCTGCCCCCGGAGCGGCCGTGCGGGACGGCGCGCCCTCGTCCTCGCCATCGGCCTCTCCGTCATCACCGTTGCAACGCCGGCCGTCTGTCCGTGCGCACCGCGCGCGGGGCCTCGTTTCGGTCGGCCGCCTCCACCCACGCGCCGCTCGCGTCTGCTTCCCTCCGTGTTGCGCCTTGCTTCGGCCGACACACGAGCGCGCCTTCGCTCCTCCATATACCATCTTTCCAAGCTAGCTATATGCAAGTCAACCGTGGTCATACACCACTCATCCACTATCCAAAAACTTCTAAGATGCAAGTCATACACTATCTCAACATTGGTCAGACAATGGCTGTATAATCCTCATATATTGCCTTTACACTTCCCATGCATCAGCCGTGTATTACCTATACACTGGCTAGACTCGCCTCAGACGGTAGTCAGATAATCCCTGGACAATATTCAGACAATGGCGTAGCTCGTTGCTAAAACCAACGACGCGTCGTCTTCCTGCATCGCCGGCTGTGTCGCGCCTAGCCGCGCTGGCCTTCCCCGCTCCAGCTAGCCCTTCCAGCCGCTCCTCCTCGCCTGCAAGCTGGCCCATCTCCCTCGCGCCCGCGACTTGGCCCGTGGCTGGCCGGCCGACTCCCCCTCACGCTTGTCAGCCGTCGTCCGCCTGCTCCTCTGCCGGCCTCGCGCCTCCGCCCGGGTGCCGCGCCGGGTGCACTCACAGCCCTGCTCGGCTTGCCGTCTAGCTGGCCATGTCGGGTCCGCTCACCCCGGACCACGGACGGCTGTGCCGCACCCGCTGTCGGCCAGCTCCTCCTCGTCCGGCTGCCCTGTCGTCTCTCCACCTCCCGCGCCCAGCCTTCCCCGTCGCCAGAGCCACCTGGCTTCGTCTTCGCCCACAAACGGCCGCCGGATCACCGACGCACCAGGCTCCGGCTCCTCCCCCGTGCCGGCTTCGCTCCGCCTCGCGAGAGCGCCCCGAGCCGGCTCCGAACCCGGCTTGCCGACTATGCGTCCCGGGCGCCTACTGGCTCTGCACCGGTCCGAGCCCGGCCTGACGGCTGCGCGACCCGGCCATTCCCGCGCCTGGCCGAGTGTGGCCTGTCGCCGCCTGCACCCGTAGAGCCTGGTCCAGCTCCGTCCGCGCTGCGCCGGGTCCAAATGCCCGTGTGCGCCCGCGGCTCCACCCGAGCGCCTCCACCGGCGGCTCCTCGCGGGTCGGCTCCGCCCCGCCCTCTACATCGCGCATGCGGCTCCGCTCCGCAGTTGTGCGCCCCAGCACTCACGCACCCGGCTGATTGCTCCTCCACCTCGCTCCACGTCCACGCCCGGTCTCCGCACCCGGTGGCTGGGCGGGCCGCCTCGCGCCGCCCCGGTCGGCTGCTCCGCCCGCTGCCCGCGCCGGCTGCCGCCCCTGCCGGCTTCCATGGTGTCGTCTGCCGCAGCCGGCTGCCCTAGCGCCTATGCCCCGCGCTGGCTCCTGCGTCGCCGCCTGCCGCGGG